ACGTATGGACGCTGGCTGTTACGCAAGATCTCGATACGGGGTTACTTAGCCGGCTACCGAAATCATGGTCGGAATCTCGATTCATTCGCTGATAAATGGGAAACAGCGTATGGATCTCGGGCTAATTGATTTATTGCCCGCTTGATGGTAATTAGTCGGCCGATATATGGTAATTATCTGACGGTGTATCGCGAGCAGGGGATAAATTGATCATAGGAATGGCACATTGTTCGCAAGAAATTCCACGGAGAGTCACGATCCGCGTCTTTTTCCTACGATTCCGTCGTGGATGCGTGTCTCGAGTTGCAAAATCCCCCGATTCGTTTAATTTAGTGCCAGGTAAGTGTTGAAATTCCTACACGAGCCCTTTGAACTGGTACAGCTAGCAATGGGAATGAATAGTTCCGGAATTTTTATTTTTATTTTATTAAAGTAGATAATATATAGCTGCCTTGGAAAAATAAGTATCGATTTTCATCATTTTGCTACCATTCCGCTATATGTGTGTGTTTCCAGTTGCAAAATCACTAGAATTGTTTAATTTAGTGCCAGGTAAGTGTTGAAATTCCTACACGAGCCCTTTGGACTGGTATAACTAGTAGTTGAAATGAATAGTTCCGGAATTTTTATTTTTATTTAATTAAAGTAGATAATGTATAGTCGCCTTGGGAAAATAAGTATCGATTTTCATCTTTTTCCTACCATTCCGTTATGGATGTGTGTCTCCAGTTGCAAAATCCCTTGAATTGTTTAATTTAGTGCCAGGTAAGTGTTGAAATTCCTACACGAGCCCTTTGAACTGGTATAACTAGTAGTTGAAATGAATAGTTCCGGAATTTTTATTTTTATTCAATGAAAGTGGATAATGTATAGCTGCCTTGGAAAAATAAGTATCGATTTTCATCTTTTTTCTACCATTCCGCTATATGTGTGTTTCCAATTGCAAAATCACTGGAATTGTTTAATTTAGTGCCAGCTACGCGTTGACATTTCTACACGAGCCCTTTGAACTGGTATAACTAGTAGTTGAAATGAATAGTTCCGGAATTTTTATTTCTATTTAATTAAAGTAGATAATGTATAGTCGCCTTGGAAAAATAAGTATCGATTTTCATATTTTTCGTACCATTCCGCTATAGGTGTGTTTCTCCAGTTGCAAAATCAAAATTCCTTGAATCGTTTAATTTAGTACCGGGTACGCGTTGAAATTTCTACACGAGTCTTTTGAACCTGTACAACTAGTAGACGGAATGATTAGAATCTTTATTTTCACTTAATGAAAGTGAATATTATATAGCTGCCTTGGAAAAATAAGTATCGATTTTCATCGAATAGGAACGTGTATAGTTATACATATCTACCGACTTTTATCGTACCACTTTAATTAATTTTATTTATGGATCTATATTTATGTACGTGTCTCGGGTTAGTAGTTCTATAATTAATGCGTCGAGTATGAGCTGTATAATTAAATTAATTGTCAAGCTCGGTATCTTTGCGAGACAGAAGGTTATGTATAAAATTACATATAAATAATTAAGCATCAATCGAGTGCTTTATAATTGAAATTAAAACAAAATTTTGGAAACTCGATCAATCGCTTTTGCTTATAAGGGGATCATTTGCGAATAAAGGAAGTAATAAATAAAAATTAAGGAGTAAATAAATAAAGGGGATATGTAAATAGGCTGACGGTGGATGAAACGAAGTGATGGAATACGTAGGTGGAATGAAAAATCACGGGAACACGCTTTTACTATGGAGAAACATCGAAAGTGATACCATTTTCGCAAGATCGTTAGATGCCGCCATTTTCAAAGCTTTTCATTTTATGATAATTAATTTTTTACGTTATATTATAGGAATCATGAAGTGAAAACTCTTCGACCGTTGTGCAACTCTTGTTCTTCGTCATAATTCTTTATGAAAAGATACGATATATAATAAATCGCACGCAATAGTACACGGTGTTTACCGATTTCTAATTTCCGCGTTGGTTCGTTGGTGTATCGTATTAACCATTAAACAGGAAACAGCTGAACGCTTGGTAAAAATTTACGCTATAATCACGTAACAACGATAAAAATCATATTTTATTATATTTAGCAATATTTCAGAAAATGAATATCGAAGACCGTGTTCTCAGTTTCATGAAAACATGCCTTTTTAATTAACCCACGTCTTCCTAATTCCCGAATTTCTTATAATTATCTCCAATAACTAGAACCTTTTTCTCTGCCATTCGAATTTGAGAAAATAAATATTGAAAAATATCTCCTAGACAAAGAAAATTGTCTTCAAAGAAAATTGGGTTCTTCCTGTTTTCAGTTTCATGAAAATACAGCCTTTCAATTAACCTATGTCTTCCTAATTTCCGAATTTCTTATAATTATCTCCAATAATTATAACCCCTTTCTCCGCCATTCCAATTTGAGAAAATAAATATTGAAAAATATCTCTTAGATAAAGAAAATTATCTTCAAAGAAAATTGGGTTCTTTCTGTTCTCAGCTTTATGAAAACACAGCCTTTCATTTGACTCATGTCTTCCTAATATCTGAATTCCTTATAATTATCTCCAATAACTAAAACTTCTTTCTCCGCCATTCCAATTTGAGAAAATAAATATTGAAAAATATCTCCTAGGCAAAGAAAATTGTCTCCAAAGAAAATTGGGTTCTTTCTGTTCCTAGCTTCATGAAAACACAGCCTTTCAATTAACCCATGTCTTCCTAATTTCCGAATTTCTTATAATTATCTCCAATAACTAAAACCTTTGTGTCTGCCGTTTCAATTTGAGAAAATAAATATTGAAAAATATCTCCTAGGCAAAGAAAATTGTCTCCAAAGAAAATTGGGTTCTTTCTGTTCCTAGCTTCATGAAAACACAGCCTTTCAATTAACCCATGTCTTCCTAATTTCCGAATTTCTTATAATTATCTCCAATAACTAAAACCTTTGTGTCTGCCGTTCCAATTTGAGAAAATAAATATTGAAAAATATCTCCTAGACAAAGAAAATTGTCTCGAAAGAAAATTGGTTTCATTCTGTTCCCAGCCTCATGAAAACACAGCCTTTCAGTCGTGCTATGTTCCTCTAATTTTTTAATTCGTTCCACTTTTCTCCAGCAATTAAAGACTCGTTGTTTGACGTTCGAGTGACACGCAAACGTAATCGAGATACACCTTGGAACTCCCATGTTCTCGATACGTTTCTCAGTCCTTTAATTAGACACAGATACAAGACGCTCTCGCTTTCTCTGCAATTATCGGTCGGTCTTATCGACCGTGAGAGCAGGAGAGGTCAAAATGGCAGAAGCGGAAGATCTGCCATCATGCAAGAGGGAACGTTACACGCTCGTCGGTCGATTTATTATAAATCCCTCGATACACCTAGCTAGCCTTTCCCCTTCGCGTTTGCATAGAACAAAATTCCCTTTTCCTAGTCAGACGAGAACTTGCGAGACCGAGATCGTTGTCTCGACTTTTCTTTTCTGCTCGTAGAAGCTTTTTCTATATTGTATCGTTATTGGAAATTATTTCTCCCTTTGCTTCGTTCCTTTGCCCACGCGAGGGTTCCCCTGTCGAGGAATGGATAATTTACGAGTGCTCTCGAGCAGCCTCCATGTTAATTAAGTCGCGTTTGAAAATCCTGTTTGTGACGCAACGCAAGGGATTCGCGGTTACCGCCGAAGGCAGTATCAATTTAATTAATTAGCGATAGCCAAACATAAACCGCGGGGCTTAATTAAAATCTCTCACAAAATTGACGCCTTTTGGACCAACTCGATATTCTTACGACCCTATCCACCGTCGCTGATTGCTTTCCACTTAATTCGAGTACGTCTAATCATTTCCACGAACCCTGTATATCCACATTGTCAAATAAACGGGAACACAACCGAATCTATTTATCAATATTTAACCCCTTGACTACTGTGGGCGCCTATGGGCGCTTAGAAATTTTGTGTTTGTGATACGAAGGATGCCTATGGGCGCTTAGAAACTTTGCGTTTGTGACACGGAAGGCGGCCAAGGGGCGCTTAGGAATTTTGCGTTTGTGACACGGAAGGCGCCTATGGGCGCTTAGAAATTTTGCGTTTGTGACACGGAAGGCGCCTATAAGAGCGTAGAAATTTTGCGTTTGTGACACATAGTGCGCCTATAGGCGCTTAGAAACTTTGCGTTTGTGACACGGAAGGTGGCCAAGGGGCGCTTAGAAATTTTGCTTTTGTGACACGAAGGATGCCTATAGGCGCTTAGAAATGTTGCGTTTGTGACACGGAAGGCGCCTATAGGAGCTTAGAAATGTTGCGTTTGTGACACATAGTGCGCCTATAAACGCTTAGAAATTTTGCGTTTGTGACACGGAAGGCGGCCAAGGGGCGCTTAGAAATTTTGATTTTGTGACACGGAAGGCGCCTATAGGAGCTTAGAAATTTTTCGTTTGTGACACATAGTGCGCCTATAGGCGCTTAGAAACTTTGCGTTTGTGACACGGAAGGTGGCCAAGGGGCGCTTAGAAATTTTGCTTTTGTGACACGGAAGGCGCCTATAGGAACTTAGAAATGTTGCATTTGTGACACATAGTGCGCCTATAAACGCTTAAAAATTTTGCGTTTGTGACATGGAGAGCGCCTATAGGCGCACTGCGTAGTTTATCTTTCTGACACGGAGGGCGCTTGTTTTGACAAAAATGGCGCACACCGTATCTCAATTCTTGTCGTATGGTATGGCCGCTACGTATCAAAATCTGCCGCAGTTAAGGGGTTAATATTTCACCGAAGGAAGCTTCAAGCACTCGTCATGCCAATTACTTTTCACTTACTTCAAGTACTATACATCCAACAATTTTCTCGAACAGTGTCAACTAACACTATTAAATTGAAATACGATTAAATCCACGCTACACGATTAAATCTCATCACGAAGCATCCAACGTTCCCTTAAAAGGGAACAAAAAGTCATGGAAATATGGGAAAAGTGGAAAAACAAGACTCACCTTCACGCGATAAAGCTGCCTCATCTCCGTTCGTGTCTTCTCGCATCTGGGTGGAATTTTCAGGCACCAGGTGAACGTATTCACGATGACTGGCTTCGTGTACGTTTCCTTCAACGTGACCGTGTAACTGAAATGTTCGTACGAGTCAGTCGTATCCTACTCTCGTGGTGCCCTTATCGAGACACCGGTGGCATGCCACGGGACCGGGTGACCGAGTATTAGCCTAACGACTCTGGGTTATTGTCAAGGCTCGTCCGCGAAGGTATTTGCTCTTCCGCGAATCAGCACGCTCTAACGTTTCAAAGCCGAAATTAAAATTGAAATATAACCCATTCAACGACACAGATTTATATTTCAACCATCGACAATTGCCATAACTACGTTATTTTTCTATTACTTGACTGTCAAAGACACGATCTTATTGAACTCAGCTTCGAGGGCTTTGCTGAGAACTGGAGACGTATTAGGAAACGAATCGTGTATTTTTCATTTCCTCGAATAGACGTAATATAGATTAACCCTTTGCACTCGTTACAGAAGCATAGTAATTCGAATACTTCCTGCTATAAAGTCGACGATATTTTCAAAACAGTAACTAAGCAGTGTAAATTAATTTTAAGACGTAGAATTATTTTACCTCGATATCCCACGTGTTGTTGGACAATTTTAAATTCGAGATATTAATTAACAATGATCTCTAGAATTTGATTAAATGGTGACTGAGAGTCGCCTCTCGAATGCAAAGGGCTAAAATTAAAAATAAATTCTATGTCCATGTCGATGATCTATCTTCCTATCCCATTTAATCTCATTAACAATGCAGATTTATATTTCGACGGATGACAATTGCCAAAACTACATTATTTTTTTATTATTTGACTGTCAAAGACGTGATCTTATTGTACTGAGCTCCGAGGATTTTGCTAAGAATTGAAGACATGTTAGGAAACGAAGAAATGATCTGCGAATTTTCCTATATTCTTCATTTCCTCGGATTAAAATTAACCCTTTGCACTCGACGACTTTTTCGTTACAGAAAAATAGTAATTCGAAGACTTTCTGTCATAGAGTAGACGATATTTTTACAATGGTAAATGAGAAATCATATGGAAATTAAGACGTGGAATTATTTTTCTTCGACATTCCTCACATCGTTAGGTAATTTTAAATTTGATATATTAATTAACATCGATCTTTGGAATCTGATTAAATAGTGACTAAGAGTCACCTCTCGAGTGCAAAGGGTTAAAAATAGGTAAGTTACATACATTAGACTCTATGTCCTCGTCTTTATCTCCCTATCTCGTTTAACACTAGGATTACGGACCCTATCTGTATACCTATTTCTAAGGACACCTGTCAAATTGACAGGTAAAGAAAATCACGTGCCCTTTTTCTAACGATTAGTTTAATTTAAAAACAATTATATATTATATCAACAGTCTTAACCCTTTGCACTCGAGAGGAGTCTCTCAGTCGCCATTTAATCAGATTCTAAAGTCGGATGTTAATTAATACATCAAATTTACAATTATCCAACGATGCATGAAATATCGAAGTAAAATAATTCCACGTCTTAATTTCTATACGATTTCTTATTTACCGTTTGAAAAGATTACGGACCCTATCTGTATACCTATTTCTAAGAACACCTGTCAAATTGACAGGTAAAGAAAATCACGTGCCCTTTTTCTAACGATTAGTTTAATTTAAAAACAATTATATATTATATCAACAGTCTTAACCCTTTGCACTCGAGAGGAGTCTCTCAGTCGCCATTTAATCAGATTCTAAAGTTGGATGTTAATTAATATATCAAATTTACAATTATGCAACGAGTAAAATAATTCCACGTCTTAATTTCTATACGATTTCTTATTTACCGTTTGAAAATTATCATCGACTTTATGGCAGAAAGTCTTCGAATTACTATTTTCTTGTAACGAAAAAATCCTCGAGTGCAAAGGGTTAATAAAAGTTAAGTAAATCTGTTACCATCGTATAATTGGGTTCCGTAAATCTAGTGTTAATGTCAGGCTATAGCACGCCAATAGAATCCTTCCTCCTTATTTATGGAAGAAAGTAAGCTCACCACGATATTAGCCGAAAATGTCAATAAAGTTGAATTTTCCAGCAAGATTCTATAGCAAATTTGTCCTGTTGAGTAAAATTCGCGTAACCGATCTTAACGATTATGTCAAGGAAGATAGACTTGTTATACCATAGGTAATTAGACCAGCACTTCCTTTATAAAGTTCCGGCCATGCACAGTATGGGACTACTCACTTTTCCGTTCTCGCGCATACGTTGTCCTCTGAGAACACGCTGGGAGCAGATATGATCAGCAACGGGACCAACTGCCAGATCCTCGAAACTTTCATTTCAACCGCGTCTTCCTCTGCTGATGGCTTCCGGTCAATCTCGACGCTAACGCGAGACGCAAAGTTGGACGCTCCGCGACGCTGGCGTCTGTGGAAGGCGGCCGCAGTGAAAGTCTCGGCAGCAGGGTGAACGTTCAATTAGCTCTTTTCAGACGGATGCGTTGCTAAACGAACTGGTCTGTCGTCTGCGTCGATCGAACGAACGTGACGCCTCCGTCGTCTCGTGTGTCATTCTTTCGCCGGAAATGGATCGACGTGTCGGCCGGTGTAAAATGGCTGGTATCTAAACGCAAAGTGTCTCGTTACTATCGGTAACAAGAGACGCGAGACAGCGCGGCGTTACGTTCAGCCGATGTCTCGGACTGCCTAGGAGAACCTTCTCGCCGCACTTTTTCCCTGTATTCGAAATTTCTATTGACCCGATTATGCGCGGGAAAGTGACGCGATTCGCTTAGAAATCTGATGAAGAATCGGCGCCGAGTGTCTCGAAAAAGGCGCGGAAAGAGGATACGGCTCGGGCAAACGGAAAGAAACGCGTTGCACGCGGTCAGACGTTGCTGACGGATGTTGCGTCGTCCATATTCGATGTAAGAGGGACGAACGATCTCTTTCAAAGGACGTCCTTCGCGACAGGAAACGCTAAGTTGCTCCAATTGGCCGATTTACTCGCCGCCGCGAGTAACGGCTTTGATAAACACGCGCCGCGATCTATAACAAATAACGAGACCTCGGTGAGATGATCCACTGCACGCGCGATCCTGGATCACAGTGATACTTCAGCGAGAAACGAGAACTAGAACTGTGACTGATTCGTTGCAGTAATTATTTTACAAAAACCGGTCGAAAATCGACGAATCTTTTTATCACCGATTTTTCATAGTTGAATTTTCATAGAATCACCGATTCCTCGTGAACGATCGCGATATCCAATGACGTATTTCGATTTTCCGATGCACGATTTTTCATAGTTGAATTCGTTAAATAGCTCTAATCAACGGATTAACAGCAACTGATTCATTGCTAATTAATCCTCCAAGATTGTAATTATTTTACAAAAACCGGTCGAAAATCGTCGAATCCTTTTATCACCGATTTTTCATAGTTGAATTCGTTAAATAATTCTAATCACAAATCAGTATTTTTATCACTGATTCCGGATCGCGATATCCAATGACGTATCTCGATTTTCCGATACACGATTTTTCATACTTGAATTCGTTAAATAGCTCTAATCAACGGATTAACAGCAACTGATTCGTTGCTAATTAATCCTCCAAGATTGTAATTATTTTACAAAAACCGGTCGAAAATCGTCGAATCTTTTTATCACCGATTTTTCATAGTTGAATTTTCATAATTAAATAATAATTAATAAATCACGGATCAGTATTTTTATCATCGATTCCTCGTGAACGATCGCGATATCCAATGACGTATCTCGATTTTCCGATGCACGATTTTTCATAGTTGAATTCGTTAAATAGCTCTAATCAACGGATCAACAGTAGCTAATTCATTGCTAATTAATCCCCCGAGATTGTAATTATTTTACAAAAATCGTCGAATCTTTTTATCACCGATTTTTCATAGTTGAATTTTCATAATCAAATAATAATTAATAAATTACGGATCATTATTTTTATCATCGATTCCTCGTGAACGATCGCGATATCCAATGACGTATCTCGATTTTCCGATGCTCGATTTTTCATAGTCGAATCCGTTAACACTAAACGTACCGATGCTTTAAACGCACCTATTCTTACCATAAGAAGTCAAATGACTCCTCACGGTACATAAGGCACGCAAAAGAATTTTTCTCGTTAAAAAATAAGTTAAGATAAAAACGGAAAGCGAGAAATTAAATAATCAGATAATATAAGAATTTAGAAAAAGTCAGATGAGAGAAAGGAATAATAAATGTACGACTTACGGAGTAAATTTCGAAAGGGGTCATTTGACATCGCTTGCTACGTTTAGTATTAAATAGCTGTAATCAACGAATCAGCACAGATACCATCGTTATGGGGTGGTTAATTTAAAATTTAATTAAAATTCGTCGATGGTGAGAAGATTCGAGATCCATTGCCGGAATCCTATTATCCTCGCGAATGGTCTGGCGTCTGAGCTAGGAGCACACCGTGAAATCGATAATGGCGCCCATAGACCGCAACGCGCGACGCGCTTACACTTTCGTTCGCCTCTAATGTCACCGACTGACGCTTTGCCGTTCTTGGTCTGGTAGCTTGGAACTTCGCCACATGTGGTTTATAATTCAATCTGCCGTCATTTTTTCCACGCGACCGGGCGTCGCGAGCACGTGATAGGAAAGATCACGAGTAATACTTTCGTTCTTCCTTCCACGCAGCTGTCACCACCGTGAGAAATTTCTTCCTAACCCTTTTGCGTAACGCTTTTGACGTATCGCCTTTGACGACTCGCGCGGATCCAGGGAATAGGTGAATAGCCTTGTATCTCGCCGAAAAGGAGATATCATCTCGCTACGCGAACACAGCACACGGCTGGATCCTCTAGATCAGACGGCGAGATTAACGCGGAAGATCTTAATTATCCGATTATCACGGCTACATCCTCAACCTTGGCTTTGAGGAAGGAATTCGAGCGAGCCAATTAATTCGTCTCCTGTAAATGGAGATGAGGACGGGATCTCGCAGAGAAATCTCTCAGTTCTATCCGTTTATAGCCGGTTAGCGCGATCTTATCGCGGGGACCGCTATCATCGGGCCTCGCGATTAATTTCAATGACTTTCCATTTCTCATCGCCGATGGAAAGCCGATCGCCGTTACGACAGAGGACGCGGGTGCACCGGCAAAGTCCGACGCGGAATGCAAATTCTTGCGCGATTATCCCGTTGCGAGCGCGAAATTGCCCCCCTGAAGACGTGGTGTGACTTCGTTTCGCGTTCCCTCCGATGACTCCGCGAAGGTACACACGCGCGTTACGTGATCGTCGTTGGCGAAATGTATCGAAGGCGTGGCGAGTGGCTCGAAACGCTCGCGCGAACTGAGCGTGTTCCCAGGCGAGTGCAGAGGCTCCTCTTCGTCGCGTGGAATAATTCCGCGTTAACGGAGTACTCTGTCAACCACGAGGCACGGTTACGCGATCCGATTTCGTCCTTTCATCGGGTCCTGGAAAGATCGATCGCAACGTCTGCTAGATGGAAATCGTTCTCACGGTTTTCCTCGCGTACCTCCGATGGGAGAATAATAATTGCTCCTACCAGCCAGGCTAATTTTCACCGACGAATCAACAATTACCTGGAAGCAGACTGCATTCCCGCTTATACCCGGTGTCGTATATACGCGATTCAGAGGGAGATTTACGGGATTCCACGAGATCTTGCATAATCAACGAACGCGACACGGTTTCCCATGGTAGGGCAGAGGACAGGGGCGAGGAGCCGCTGGATCAATCGCACGTGGGACTCTATGGCGTGACGAAAAATCGTCTAATGATTCAACCAGCGCCGTTTCCGAGCGCGAGGAATTTTTATCGAGCGTTCACCACCGGAGCGTTAATTAAAATCTCACACGGTCGAGGCGAGGCTGCTGACGGATTAATTGGAAAAGCTCTCACACGACTTTTCAGGGCGGGTCGAACTTCCTTTCCACCTAACAACTTCTGCCATCGCGCGACGAGTAATCCGCGATCAACCCGATCATTTACCGAGCACAGAACGTCGCAAATCTCGGCAGAAGACACTCGATCGGCTCGGAACGACAGCGTGAGGACGGTCCCGTCCTCGATCACGTCGCGACGTCTTTCCTCCAACGAGTCGCGAGATCTGCCTATGGTCGGATAGCGGAACGGATCGGGACTCAAATGTACCGTGCGTGAAACGACGAGGGATACCCAGCCGTGTGTTCTGGACCTGGCGTAAAGAGGTCGAAGGCGCGGACGAACGACGGTGGAGGACGTCAGTGCCGCTTTCACAGACCGATCCGCAACTGGCTTCACGTTCGTAACGAGCAATTGGCGTCGCCGGCACTCGGAATGCACTTGTGGCACAATGAACTCCGACCCTAGCGACCGACAACGACAACTAGAGGCAGAAGGTGGGGTCGGCAGATCCCAGAGGGGGCGGTGTTCACGTTCTGGGCCCTCTTTTCACCGTGGAAGACAGAGAGGACGCACGATGGCCGCCACTCCAGGCTCTCGAGCACCGAGGATATCCGGAGACATTGACACTGTCCGGGAAGTCGTCGTCCAGGCGTAACTAAGGCCCCGACCTACGTTCTCTGCTTCTAGCCTTTTGGAAAAGGGTGCTGCCAGTTGGCAGGAAGGAAAATGGTGGATTCGTTTGACTGGCTTGCAGAGGCTCGTTTATTCCAAGGTCTGGGTTGAATGACGCATTCGTCAGGAGGGCCAGCGAAACGTTTGCTCGAGGGCTTGCTCGTGGGATATTCCGTTGGATACGTTCCTCGCTGAGATGTTCGATATTCTAATTCCCGTGCAATTCATTGGCAGGCTGTTTCATAAATTGCCGCACAGCCGAGCAATCGTCGAGCTCGCAAGAAAGGCCGCAATTAAGAGGTACGAGCAATTGAAACTCTCGGCAGAGGAGAGTTAAACGTACGAGATCTCGGCTGCATTGCTTTCCATCATTCGGCTGCAGCGATTAAACGGAAGCTCGAGCCAGCCGCGTTCCAGGAATTCGCGAAATTCTCGCTGCTGATGGTCGTTGGCAGATGGCGTTTTTTCAAAGAAATTCGCGCGAACGAAACGGGCCGAGTTCTTGGACCGTTCCGACGGGTCTAGAACTAAGCAGACCTCGCGTAATGAGATGATTGGAAGAGCAATTCATCGCGTTCTCCCTCTTGTTCTCCCGGCACGTAATGGAGTCGGGCTACGTCGGGCTGAGCATCGTTTAATCCCGTGACGAACAACATCCGATGAAATCCGGTAATTAACGTTCGTTGGGGAAAAATGGAACGGATCTTTGGCCTGTCGCGTCGAAGATCGTCTCTTGGATAGTGGACACCGTATTGATTATTCCCAGGGATAGCTCGACTAATTGTTAATAACATTTCGCAGACACGTGCAAGAAAATTTATGGTAGAAAAGAAAAATACTCGCTTCTTAATACATTTTATATATTTTTACATTTTTATATACATTATAATCGTGCTTCCACGATAAGTTAATATTTTGCCATTATTTTAAGAGCCTAAAATGTATATATATTGCAATTATATTATATTATAATACTCCTATCATGGAGTTTAGAAAAACCATTAATCTACTTAACCTGTTATCGAATTAAGTCCAGTTTAATTACGTAATTAGATAGTCAAATACGTGTCTTATCAGATGTAACGTTACAACGATATTTCACCTAGAGAATTTCTTACGAATCCAAAAACTGAGAATTTTGCCTACCCTCTTCGAGGTTGTGTAACCAAAAGCGGCGTAATCGAGGCTAGAAAAAAGATTATTATCAACGATGACACACATAACTTTATGTTAATGTTACCTAAATGTTAAATGTACGAGTTTCAAATTTTCTTGAGTCCCATTTTGATCCCAGTCCAGGTCTAACTGCGACTCTGTTACGTCACGCATTAAGTAGTCAATAAAAGGGCGAACGAAAAATATTCCTTTACCTCTAGTCTCGAACGACCACCAAACGATGCACCAAAATGGCCGCCGCGCGTTTCTAAAGATAGTCTTCATTAAATACCCGGTGTCCAGCGGTAGAAAAAAGGATTATTATCAACGATGACACGTATAACTTTATGTTAATGTTACTTAAATGTTAAATGTACGAGTTTCAAATTTTCTTAAGTCCCATTTTGATCCCAGTCCAGGTCTAACCGTGACTTGATTGCGTCACGCATTAAGTTGTCAATAAAAGGGCAAACGAAAAATATTCCTTTACCTCTAGTCTCGAACGACCTATCCGATGCACCAAAATGGCCGCCGCGCGTTTCTAAAGATAGTCGTCATTAAATATCCGGTGCCCAGCGGCGACGTAAAAAGTTAATTAATGTAAATGCTTTTAACGACCTGCGCGAGTACCAGTGTCACGACTCCGTCGGCCTCCGTAACGATTAATCTGCATCACGGTTTCGCGTGAAATCGCGTAAGAGCCAGGTAGAGGCTGCTGCACAGAAATCCGACAGAAGTCCGACAGAAATCCAACAGAAATGTTGGTATTTCCAGTTTAAATCGACCCACTACGCGCATAATGATATCGCGAATAATTACAGTCGCCTGGCTGCCTCTTACACGAAACACGCTCGCCATCCGAGGCATTTCTTGCCTCGCGACTCGATTTCAAAACGATTTGCGTCAAGAAACACTCCAGGTGTTGCGAGTCTGCTTGATTTACGACACACACGGCTGGGTTTTGAAAATCGAGAAACACTCGGATGTAGAAACACCCGGCCGAGTAAGCCTATCCGTGGACCAACTCGATGGAAGATTTATTAATCGGTTATCGGCGCAGCCGATTAATAAAAGCCACCGGTCACGAAGATAGCCTAATTGCAACGATTTGTCGGCGTCTAGAGGAACTGGGACAAGACCCGAGTGACAGAGACCTCGTGATTTAGCTGTCCTTCGCAAGATCCAACGGTGATAAACAACCTACTCGTCAGGGGTCCTCTTTCAGCTTTCCGGATACCACCTCCGGACACCTTTCCCCATTTAAGCACCTCGAATCTGATTTTATGGAGACAAAGTCGATCGCCTTGATGCCCCGGCCGGTCGTAGAGTCTGCAACTTTCAAATTGGCCCACCTCGAGTCTTCGCGAGATTTATAATCGAAGGGAAATTGCAACGGCCCGTGAAGTCTTCGAATTATCGTTATTGGTTTCCAATAACCGAACCTAACCCCGGGCATCCTCCGAGGGAAAAATTAATACTTGCCGCGCAACCTTTCCTCGAGCTAAGCATCGGTTAGCTGCATAGGAGGCTTCAGCTTCCTCGTGATCTTTAGTCATGGTAATAACACGCTTGCACCGTGATACGAGCTTAACCTTCTGATCCTTCGCATTCAGCTCGCAGAGTACGAGACATCCTCTGGACATATCTCTCAAGGAACACGGATTTTAAACAAAAATCGTTTGAAACAGAAGCACAGGATGCTTCGTAAAACCTACCCATTGGGGAATTAAAAATTCACCTTTATTTCTTAATTCGTAGGTAATTTATTAACAAGAAAATAGGGTGATCCGACATTGACACGTGTCGTTGTCAGATTAAAAATCCTCGGTTAGCCTCTGAATCATGCATATGCTAAACAGAAACACGGGAATTTTGGAAACCGCCACACCCTAAATTAAAAATTCACGTTTATCCTGTATGTCTTAATGATCTTAAATGGAAGTGTAGAATTAATAATTTTACACGGTGAACTCGTGGAATCTATGCTGGAAGGGTAATACGGTATTTTCCCTACGAGCTTTAAGGCTTAAAGCTGCGCTTTTTACGCATCGACTGTTATTTCTCACGCGTCAGCCTGCCGGACGATTTATTTACACGAGAAATAATTTCCCACCGTGTTCGTTCGCCTTTTTCACGTCGGCTAACAGGATAGGGAAATGCACGCTAATGTTGCGCGACGTTATTAACTTCTGCAAGCAACGGCCACTTATTCACGGTCTATTGTTCTCGCTGGCAGAGAGGTTGGTTATGCCAGCTAAGCGTTAATCGATACCATCGTCGACGTTTGTACACGTTCCGCGATTCGAAACACCTAAAACCAGAGGGAGAACCTGACTCTAATCGAAGCCAGGTGAAAACCCTCTCCACGCGGGGGGAAGAATTCGTAAAAATGACCGAGATCACGGATACGCACGGTCGGACCAATTAGTATGCCAGTCCTGTCGACGTTTCTGCCTTTACGACGACAGCAAGGTTGCCCTGAATAGCTACGAGCTGCCACCGCATCGCTGGAACCGGCTTCGTGCGTTCCGATCGGCCAGGCCCGCGTTCTTCCATAAATTTTCCGCAACTCGGGGCTGAACACGCGTGAAAGTTTCCGGGTGTCACTTCCACCCGGTTTCCTGTATCTTTCCCTCCAAACGCGGGAAAAATACTACACTATCCTGCGAATAAATATTTTCTTATCGATCATGTATCGCCGAGGTAGGAAAATTCCCGGAGCTGTGATCAATCGTTTGACAGTTAGGAGTCTTTGCAGAAATTTGGTCAGGAAAGATCAACCGAGGTGATCGCGAGTCTTTCGTAACAGTATGAAACATAAATCGATTTATTTTTTAGACAGAATTCGCAGCTAATCGTTTGCCTGTTAGGGGTCTTGCAAAAATTCGGACGGAAAGAGCCGAGTGAGACGATTGACAGTTTTTCGAAACAGCGATGACACGAATCGACTTATTTCGATAGGGAGAATTAGTAGAGCTATAGTTAACCGTTCGAGTGTTAAGAGTCTTCGCAATAATTTTGTCGGGAAATAGCAAAAGACTGTATGACACTTCTTTCGATTCAAGTTGGAAGGTTCCAAGCGGCCCGATGGCATATTCCCCGTTCCAAGTCGAGAGGTGTCAAGTGATCCGATAGCCATCTCTCATAACAGTAAAGACACGAATCGATGTCTTCTGTCTGAGAAAATTCGCGAAACGATCGTTGATCGTCCAAGTGCTATAAATCTTCGCGGGAATTCCGATCAAAAGTGCGATTTGGCAGTGCCTAGGCACAGTCCGAGTATGCGGTCAATTCGATTGTACTCCAGCGATTAGGTGACGCCTTCAGCCGGTGAACGGAGAGCGAAATGACTAATCGTGAGGTAGCCCTTGGTCGGATTTCCAATGAAACGTACTCTCGTCATTAAACGAACCAAGTGCCAAGCATTGCCAACCGTTTTACTTACTAATTCGTTCTGATAAACAACAGAGTCTTATTTCAAATTTACTGAAATGGGTAAGGCATTCTGATCTAAGCAGCACCCTCACGGATCTGCTAGACTCGACCTGTCTGTCGGAGAGCTAACAAGTTAATTGTCTAAGGAATTCGAATCGATTTTGCTCGAGTCACGTACCGAAAGAACGTCGTGGCGTGACATTTCTGGCATATCTGGCTGAAAACGAAGGAAATGACCGGTGACAGGACGCCGATACCGCTGTACACGAGGAAGGGAATTCGTAATTGCGATAGAGAGTCGAAGAGGCGAGTGGTCGTAGGTTCGGTACCCTAGGTGAACTCTCGTTTTTCCCAAAATGACGTAAGACAGTTGTAATCCTGGCGGCGGATCGTACGATTATGAGCCACGAGTCAACGGAACGTGGAAGTACGGGGACATTGCGTAAGGATTGCGCTAATGTACGTCGCGTTGTTTACTGTCCGCATGAACATCGGCCCGGGAAACGTTCAATTAATATCCCCGCTATGTCAGGGGACGTACGGTTTGGACATAACGAGTAGAAAGTGAATTGGTTGCATAAATTCGACACATTTTTCTCCGATACGATCGCGTTTAACCCTGACGGCGAATTTCCAAGGAATCTTCTTCAACGTCCCGTCTCGTTAATATTACCAGTCATGGCGACAGGCATGACCCAAATGACACAAATACGAGTTGCATTTATAGCGAAATTTCTTTTTCGTTTCAGCCTTGCTTTTCATAAACGAGTTTGACTGACGTGGTACTATCGTTTATAGCAAATTCCAATCTGCAAACTCATTCGAAGCTGTCAAAGGAACCTCGGTTTGCGAAATTCCGTTACAAAATGGAGTGCCTCTCCGCCAAAATCCTTTCATTTTAACATATCGATTTTCGTTTCTTAATCCACGTTTGCAATGTTAGAAATCTTTTTATTTTGAAATATCGCGATAGATTTTTGTTTTCTTAAGGTTGCAATGTTAATAAATCGGTGCGTCGATTTTTTGCCAATTTTTCACCGTCGCGAAAGCGGAATTTCGACGCGCTCTCTTCTTCCGACCGCTGATCCTCCACTTCCGGTTCATAAATCCGCGCGTGTCCGCCGAATACATAATTCCCTCGCTTTCTTCGCGTCTTTTTCTCGTTGCGTGCCGAACATACGCTCGTTACTTTAACCCGGGACGAGCAACGATCATGCGATTCGATAAGCAAGGCACCGGCCATGATCGTTTTCGTCGATCCGCCGATCCGATTGTCGCTCGAGCATATCTCGAGGAATCCTCGTCGAAAGCTGTTCCATCCCGCCATTTTCTCTTGTGCAACGTCCTTTACTCTCGTTTCTGCGCCGCTTTTTTCACTCCCCGGGATCGTAAAAGTACGATCTTTACCACGGCCGATTACGTAAGTTTATGGGTGCTCTCATTCATAAGATCCGAACGGGTGTAGCCAGGCTCGCGTCTACTTTCGAATGGAATTCATTACTCGAAGGCAAATTGGATAGACACGACTCTCGTTATGCGAATACCCCGTGGTTCGGTTTCATTCAGAGGATAGTCGGAAATTAATGGAATAACAAATTGCAGAATTAAGTTAGTTGCACAAGCGAGTGACATTGCGCCCCGTTTTATCCGTCTAAATTGCGCAAGCAGGCCATTGTTCTCCTCTAATCATGATTACTCTCATTACGATCCGACCAGGGATTAGCCTGCGAGTATCGTTGACCACCGGTTTCATTTTCTGTCACGCCGTTCTCCAGTGATCTCTTCGACCACGGTACAAGGTTCACTTTCGACCCGTCCAATCGTTTCCATCGAAATCGAAGATGTACGAAAGTGTGGCCTTGAGACCTAGAAACCCGTGGCCTTGAAAGAACGTCACTTCTCATCCGAGGATTCCGCTCTCGTCGATATTCGCCGATCATCGTCGTTTTCTGTCACCTTCCTCGAGTCAGGAGAAAAGGAAAAAGAGAGGGAGAAGAGGAGACAAATATATCGGTATATATAGCGGTCGTGATGGAATTTCCGCGGAATTTTCCTCCATCGAATTTCGAAGGTGCATACGCGCGAGGGCGTGCGTGCATGCACGGAGGAAGGTGAAAGTGGACGAAAGGCATTCGACGGAGTCATTGTGCAGACGTTTCGCGGAAAGTCGGGACTTCCCGGCCTTCCGATTGCGTAACCGGACGGACCAGTTTTTGGCCAGCAGACGGTCGAGCAGGGAACGGAATCGAAAGCGAAAGGGACGGCCGATCGGATCGGTTCTCTGCTCGGTTCTCTGTCCGCTTCTCGGATCACCGATCGGGAGAAAAACGACCTCTTGACCCGAGTGTGTCGTGGCCGGAGGCCATCGAAAACCGTGCTGGAATCGAGATTGACGAGCGGGGCGTGACTTCCCTCGTGTTTCTTTTCTTCCTCTCCCTCCCCCTTTTATTTTCTCGAGATTTCCTCGCGCCGAGAAACCCTGCAGGCTTACCCACAGCCTGGGTAAATTCGCTCTCGATCATCGTCGCGGAGCCAACTTATCGCGTCTCGATCGTCGATACGATCGTCGTTAATTGACGATTCAAGGTAAAAATTCCGTATCGGCAATCGATGCTGATTTATTTAACGAGCTCGTTATGCAACCACGCGTAGATCGGTAATATAATTCGGTCGAACGGCCTCCAGTTGTCAGCTCTTCTTCCAGGAGGAAGTCCATCCCGCTCGATTTTCTCCGTGTTGCGTGCTGCGAGGAGAAATCTAACGAATTTCCGCGAATCGTTTGGTCGTGGGTAATTCAGAAATAATATAATTTCACAGAAACGGGGAAATTTCATCAGACCGATTTCAATTTCGCTCGTAAATCACGCGCGTTAGGTGTACTTACGGTCGTCGGACAGGTTCCTCCGGCACGTCGTCGCCCGAAATGTTAACATCCCGTCGATCATAATATTCGAGACGCATCGAACGCGAAAGGGGCGATAAGATCGGACACGTTCCAGACGGGACCAATAAAAGCATCGCGGCACGTTCGGTGACGCAATGAAACACACTGCCGGTCTTTCGAACTCGGTTTCCGCATCTTCGCGTTACGCAAGTGGGTGAACCAGTTTCTGGACAGACCACCTTTGTGTAATTATGCCTGAGCAGCTGTCTCCGTAGGAACAATAACGTCTCCTATTGCGGCCCGCGTGAAAGCTGACGTCCTACACGCTCCCGACGAAAGTTCCAGCAAAGGATCAGCATCCTCGTTAAATTTCGCAGGCCATCGGATAATCCGCTCGACGTCGTTGGGAAAATATTTCCTTACTCATTCGTCAAATTTCTCTCGCTTACTCGGATGCAAGAAGTAGCGAAAGAAAGATAAGCATCGGAAGGATTTAACCGATTTACCAGATTTCACCCGATTTTTCTACATTCTGCTAAACTGGGTATTTAAATGAAGCAATTTGTCAAAGAAAGGCGAACCCCCGGCAAAACTGGAATTCTTCTCTTATTCAGGTAGAAGGTGTAAAAGGGATTGGACAGGTAGACCTCGATGGTTCGCACGATTCCGCGTGACTTTTTCCAGATTTTTTCAACGCCGCGTTTAAGTGAAGGGATTCACGAAAGAAAGCTGTTCCGGACGGAATTAGAATTTTTATGGGCCTCGTGGTAACGGGATTATACGCGATAGAGCGAAAGGGACGGAGCACTTTAATTACGCAACCCGGTAAACCAATTTCGGGCTCGTCGTCAAACAACTTTTATTCGGCGGTCGAGGCCTCGATTCGAGTGCCGCGAAAGTCTGGGAATAATGGGTTCCGGACAGCAGGTTCTCTTTGTGTAGAACGAACAATGAGAAGAAGTCCAGCCTCGTATCGTGTTCCTCCTTTGTAAGTTGGACCCTGAAATCGCGAATTCGGCTTGCGACACTGCCTTATTATAGAACGCCGTTACAGAATCGGCTGATCATGGAAGTACTCGGTGCTAGAAATTTATTTAAAGCCTCGTTCACCCATTTCCTCGCGTGCACGCGCTCCACCGCGCTCTCCTACGGCATAACACGAGTAATTCACCTTAACGACCCACGTTTCGTGGACAACTAACGCGATCGACGGTGCAAAACTCCTTGTACCGATATACCGATACGGATTATAGATTTTCTCCTCATGAAAATTGCAATGGTGTACCCCTGGATAATTCCCGATCGAGCTCATTTGCGATCGAAATATCGTCCAATTACGATACGCTCGGAATTGTCCGCGAGTGGTTGGCTCATTGCGAAACCGGCTGACATCTACTCGATTCGTCGGATTACGGATTATTTTATATTTACACCGCGAGAGTCGAGTCTCTCGCCTGATTTCTGTGAAAAGGCATCGCGGCTAGCGTCCGACTCGAGCGCTCATTGGCACCGTTTAACGACCGAGCACGTAAATCTCTTTGTGTTTATTAAACCCTGGTGCCGTTTCAAGGTGTACGACACGAGAGCAGCCCTCGACACCGCGAAACGATTTATGCGCCGGAGGCGTGCTCGCACGCGAGCTTAATTGCACGCGTACCATTGGCCGTGTCGCGGCATCGCGGTTAAATTAATGACACTCGCGAGGGTAACAATAGCGACCGGATACACGCCACGTTCCACAGAACTCGACGCGTTTTACCTGAATATCGCTGACTCTCGCCGCTTGTCACGTTCCACGATAATTCGGGGAACGGTCAACTATGACTCGTTCAACGAGTTGCAAAAGGGAAGGAATACTCGGGTGATAAATCAGATTGGAGGCCTCGTTGAACGAGTTATACGCGTTTCGGTCGTTTGTTTGGTATCTTCGGCTTTGGCGGAACAAGGATCGTCCCTGATGAACGACCCTCTGGAGAAAAGGGAAAGTGACGCTTCAGACGCTCTGGGCTGCGAAAGCTTCTCGAACGTTTGACTCACTGTTCCTTTTTTGGTGGTCTTCCTTTGCTTAACGAACGACCGAAATCGTTAAGAGGATTGCCGTGATTCCTGATACTGCCCATGTCGCGTGCAGTGACGAAGCGTCGTTGTAGAATCCGCTTCCGTAGACCTGCAGACCGGCGGTCTCGATGCTGCGCTTGCAGTAATCTCCGTCTGCAATCCGAGTAATACACGGTTAGGCGAATTAGTGGCTGAGGGTATGGTTGTCGTTACAGTGCGGGACCGAATGATACAACGGCAAGGGTACGAAAAACGAACGAAATTGACAATCCCATTATCTTGGCATTTATGAAAATACTCCAGAGGCATCGATTCTTTTCTAGTATTTTTATCCACTGCGTCATACTATAGTACTGACCTTCCTTTATAGAATCGATCTTGGTTCATAACGGTACGATTTACTCCCGCCGACATATATCACTTCGAAGGTGCCCATAAGACACTGGGAATTATAAGGCGTGCTATCACTTTATCCTGCACTCTGTCAAATTGACGAATGATTCCTCGACGATACCCGTTCCGCGGAAGAAATGGCACTGCTCGAGGTGAGCCAGCGGAAATTACAGAGGTCGGAAAATAGTTTGCAGGGAGAAGGAAAGAGAGTACTTTGCAATGATAAAGAGAAAAGAAACAGGTATCGGTTCGATCGCCTCGAGATTTCGAGTACCATATCGGGTCTCAATGAATCGCGAGGCTGGTGAAGTACAAGGAGAACGGGTCGCCGAGATCGGTAGATCGGTCACGGCTACAGGGCGAAGGAGAGAAATCGATCCGCTTCAAAATCCGGTGAGCAAGATCAGAGGAACTGAGGGTAAAAAAAGGCGCGTCGAAGAAAGCAAAGGGAGAAGAAAACAGGTTACTTCCCCTTTCGTCGCGTGACGCGTTGTTTCGGTGCTCGACATTTCTCTCGAAACTCGATCGCCGTAAAATCCAGCGTCGTTTACCAACAAGCGAGTCATCGAGATTGCGGCATATCCGGCCCACGATCTCTTCTCACGCGTATCGGCGCGTATTTTTAAACTCTCGTCACTTGTCCGCTTCGCCGATTAACCTAACCTCAATGTCCCGTCGAATTCCGCCATCTTGCGCAGTCTAACCTCGCGATGGCCGCCGCGCGAGGCTGCCAACGTTCGATTTATATCTCGGCAGCCTGTTCCTCTTCGAGAATCGCGAATTTGATATTCTCCCCGAAGGGTCCATTACCTCTGCCATAATCAGCACGGTGTGAGTGCAGAGGTGCAAGCGATTAGAAATGCTTTCCCCGTTGATAGGTTGAAAAGCGGCGTGGAAATGGCGATTATAGGAGATCTATTTAGAAGGAAATCAAAGGACGGAGTAAAAGAAGGAAAGAGGAACGTATGGCGATCGACCGAGAAATTATACAACCGGTGCTCTTTCTCCTCGTAATGCAAGAGTCACGTACATCTTGGCTTTCCATCGCGACCGCTTCTCAGAAGCGGTTCATTTTTCCTCCAGCGACGCCGAACCTGCCACGATTTTCCTTCTGCTCGTTTCGACCAGTTCTACGACTCGGTGTAGAGAATTCGATTAACGCCGATCATCGTCCTAAAGATCGCGCAACGAAATCAACCCGCGCGCGAGATGAAGCGGAAGATCGTAAGCACACGCGTGTTCGCCAGGCAAATCGACAGGCTTGGAGCTGCAGCATGCAATGGAAACGAGAAGCGGAATCGACGAACGTGTCTCACGATTCAACGTTTCTCTATCCTTCTGTGGTACACCGTTCTTTCCCCGATCTAGTCCGATTTCGCAACCCGCCAGTCCCACGGGGCCAGAACT